TGTGCACATTCTCCACTGGCCTTGGTACATGCCAGGAACGGCTGGACTGCGCATCTGCACACTCACGTCTGAGATCTCCTGCGGGTCCAGAGACCGCACCATCACCATGTTCACATGACCAAACTGATCCCCACCAACATACTTCAGACACACACCCGGGGGCCACGACTCTGTACCTGCAAAGCACAAAGACAGGAATGACATTAGACAATCTGTGAGCTTTCTGTCCCTCCACTGACAGCTACGCAACTACCACTTTAAAGCCCCAGAAAGGTAGTGAAGACATCATAAAATTAATCCATGTCACTCCAGTGGTTTAAAGGGACACCAGGCAGGAATCCCGTTTTTGTCAAACAGTGACCCCTAGAGTCGCTGTGGAGAACTTTTATTTAAAGTTTATGTCGTAAATACCACTCACGCAGAGCGTGACATGGCGTGATGTGTTACATAGTACATTGTGTTTAATTTGTCGTTTAATGAGATCTAATATATGTTGTTAGTGGTGAGAATTTTCACGTGATTAAATACATAGATCCGACAATTATCCCCATGAACTTTAATGGTCCAGTGGCAGAACTTTTGCCAAGTGTGTCAGAGGTCAGAGGGCGAGATGTTTCAATGGGGACATTTCACACCCGGAAATTACGCCTATGCTCGTGTCTCCTCGCTCGGTCAGTCTGCCGTTTCCTCTTTCTCTGTTCCTCCGACAATGCTAGACAATTCCTAGCTTTCTGCATCTTATATGCCGGCTCAGCCATGACGATAGTGTGACAAACTCCATCCCTCTCTACATTGTTCCTGGATGGGGGTGTGTATGTGTGCAGTGCTGTAAAGGAATATGTTATATCGCGAGAGCTGATATGACGCGATACTTCCTGACGCTGAGGCCGGCGGCCCGCCGCACCAAAGTTGCAAGTGAGATTTTTCCGTGAGACGGCCACCATTCAACCCGAAAGAAGTCATATAACATTTCAATAACTCTGAAGCTGTTCAGTTAAGCTAAAAAAACTGCATAGAATCCCTTTAACCTCAATTTTATGAAGCGATGCAAATGCTTTGCGCAAAAAAACAAACAATTGACCACTTTACAAATTATTAATCTCTGACCACGACGCATGAATATTGTTGACACAAGAGTAGACGTTGTTGCGTGAACGCGCACCGGAAATTAATATTTTATAAATAAAGTGGTAAATTATGTTTTTTTTTGCACAAATAAACGAATGTCTTGCGTGTGATGGAAAGTAATGGGAAATACTTAATTTGATAGTTTTCTTTTTTTAGTTCATAAAAATGAAATACAGTCAATCATGGTTTATTACAGTGCAAAATGACCATCGAACACATTTCTTTTGGACATTATATGTTTTCCCACAAGATTCCACTATGAAGGAATATTTAATTTAAATTGTGTAATGTCTGTGCTTGCATGCAAATATAACAACATTGGTGTAAGTTTGGGTCATTAAACATTCAGCCTTTTCATATCTACAACCAGAACAAAAACAAAAAAAACTCACCCGTATTCTGTATCCTCCATGTCTTTGTGAACTGTGTGTCAGGAGGAACGGATTCCCCCTCTCCAATCGTCACATCATCCACAAAAGACATTGACGGCGTGTTGATATTTGGGCTCTCAAAGTCATAATATGCACCAATAGCTGCTTGAAGGTTCCTAATAGGCACAAAATACAGACAGATCAACATGGGAGATTTAACTACCAAGAGCAAAACAACATGTGTATAATATATATACAAGATGTATAAAGTGGCCAGAACGTAAAGTCATGTTCAAAACAAAAGAAGGGAGGGACAAACTAGTGTTGGCCTGTGTGTAAGACCTCAGATGAAAGTACACTCGTGTATATTACATAACTCTGAAGTAAACTTAACAATAGCCTTTCCATGTCAACAAACAACAAGTTTACGCAAAGAAGCAACATACAAACAATTAGTGTAACGTTACTGTTTTTACAAATGAAAACTATTATATCACTGTCGTTAAGCAAAACGGTATTTTTGAGGAGTCGTGACTGAGCAACATTAAACAATGTCTGTGGCTCAAAACATAGTGAGACCCCTACATAGACAGCATTTTGAAAGCACGACCCTACTCGGCAGCATTTCAGGTCAGAAAAAAAAACAAGAATGCTGCTTAGATAGGGAACTCACAAGGATTTGAAACACAACCACTATAGTAGCGAGCTACTAGCACAAACAAGCTACATGTTTGACAACTGAGATAAATGAAACAAACCACATAATTTGAGAACATGTTTGAGAAAATTAATTTTAAAGAGGACAACTTTCTAAAATATTACTTCTATAGTTCATATGAGCCGAAATGTTACATTTGTTTTCTTTGTAAACAGTAAATTAGCTGTTAGCTTGTTGTCTTTTTCGCTTCAGCTTTATTTAAACTCTACTGGGCACATGACAACTGTCCTCGCGGAGCTATTTTTGACATGCAAGGCATTTTAAAGCAAGAAATAACAAAGGTAAACTCTTTATGTTCAGTTCAGCAGTAGGCCGCAGCCGAGTCCCCGGACTCACCAGTTGGTCATGTCCAGGAAGAAGGCGCAGCCAGCCGGGTTAAGCTGAAAACCCAGCAGCCTCTGAAACTCCGAGATGAGGACATCTTTATCCGTGGTGCCCATGCAGCTGAATTTTTGCATGAGCTCCGGATCCAGGTCTATGTCCATGCCCTCCATGAGCATGCGGCTGTCCCGGGGATAAGTTTTAATTGAGTCCGAGGCCTTCTCCAGTCATAACAAGCGACCCGATAACAAGCAGAGTACGCATGGCTGCGGGCGGGGCGTGACGTCACGCACGACGTAACTATGGTGCGGGGGAACGTCAGCTGTTGCTATTCGACTGCGGCGTGTCGTAATTCGAAGCATACAAACCAGTAGGCCTGTTGTACTACACCATGGTGGCATAAGGTAATACAATATGTACAACGATATTACATTTGATTTACAATTGTATTCACAGTAGGCTACTTCAAAAATATGTCCAACAAGCCATGTTATTAACATGGCACGTGCTCAATAAATATCAATAAAAAAGTACTATGGCCATGTTTGGACATGGTATTACGTGTTTTTGGAGATGTTTTGATTTGTGCACACTTTATTCTGTGTAATGTGCATATTTATGTATAAACTGTGATCTAAAATAACAACACTGTCTGTTTTCCAATTATGCAGCTAAGAAATCCAATGCACATTGGATTTTATTTTATTTTAATGGTTTTAAAAGTTATTATCATTCAATTGAAATAATTTATATATTATATATTGTTTTAATTAATTATTAAAATAAATAATTTAATTAATTATTGTATTTCATAATTTCATTATTAAAATAAGTTATTTAATTAATTAATTTTTGTATCTAATTATTTACGGAATCCTCCATTAAAAGTCTAACCATGTTACCCATTGCAGTACCATGGTAATAATGTTATTCTGTATAGTGTTTAATGTGCATTGAATTTCCTAGCGGCATAAGTGGAACACAGTGCTGTTATTTTAGCTCAAAGTTTCTTAGAGAATGACCCTACTACTTGCATCATGTAAAAGGATAAGCCAGGCCCACCAGCCTGTGTGAGAGTCTCAGTAACATGATTAGCCAGCCTGTCAGCAATAATAAGGTCAGGCCTTGGATCTAGTGGCCATCGCTGTGTCAGCTAGTGTGAGATGACAAGGAAAGACTAAGATAACTAACCACAACAGGAGACAAGAAGTGAGTAAAAGGTGTGTGTTTTTGCAAATATTTTGTGCATGCTCAATTTAACATTTAACAAGGTTTCGCTCTGGAGATGGTGATGTGGGCTGAGCAGATATTATTCTAGAACACTTGCATCGCTGGGTTTGTAATATACTTTTGTACAAAAGCATGTAATGTTGGAATACCTTTTATGGTGTAAGTTAGAATTTAAATAATATTTATTATTAATATTTTAATATCATTACTATTTCTATTGTTCAGTTCAAGTTCAAAGTTTATTTGAACAACATATTGTATTATTTAAATAACATGATTACATTATTATTTTATTTTATTATGAAATAAAATTAGTAAAGATTTTAGAAGTTTTAACATATTGTTCTAATATGTAATTTAATAATCTAATAACATTTAATTAAGTTTAATTATATGAATTATATTTTAATAATTAAATGAAATTTAAATTTTATTTTATTATTCTTGCATTATTGTAATTATTATAATTTTATTATTAAATTAAATTATTTAGTAAAGCGTAAAGAGCTTGAATTTGATATGAATTGAGCGGTTTAGTCCAAATTTTCTGAAGAGACTCGATCACTTTATATGATGAACAGATTTAATTCAGGCTTTTATTCACATATAAACACTGATCAGCGAACATTAACAAAGCTCAACCGAACCTGCTTGACGCGTCCACAACTGAACAGTTGATCAATGTTTATATGTGAATAAAAGCCTAAATTCAATCTGTTCATCATATAAAGCGATCGAGTCTCATTTGAAAATTTGGACTAAACCGCTCAATTCATATGGATTAGTTTTACGATCTCTTTATGAATTTGAAGCATTAAAGTGGTAGTTGCGTAGCTGTCAATGGAGGGACAGAAATCTCTCACATTTCAGCAAAATATCTTCATTTGAGGGTGAGTAAATTATGACAGAATTTTCATTTGTGGGTAAAGTCTAACCTCTTTTCTTTTGCTGTTATTTCCAGCTCTATAATGCACATTTTAGTCTATGCTGTTGAATGATTTGTGATCAATTGTTTTAGGGCTGTTTTAGGCTGCAAGCTTTCTGCAGAGAACCGGGGCGTCTATAGTGACTTTGGTAGTGACTAAAACAGACAGGCAGGGAGGGAGGGGAAGGAAAGAGTCTTTCAAAAAACCCATAGAGTTTCTTGGCAAGGGGAGGGCAAAGGAACACAAACTGTGGGTGGAACCCTGTGACAATGTAGATCAGGCACCTACACCCTCCCCGGTGCAAAAACACTAGTACCACGAGTGCTTACCGTGTTAGTTCTGCTGTAGATCAGGGAGGCTATTAAGTTGAAGTTTAATTCGATGGATAATACAGGCTTACGCTGAATAATACCAGGTGGACAAGGACTAATAGTCTGCTTATTGCAGGTAAAGAGGATTTGTGTCCAGATCCCCAGACAGACCCCTGCATGCTTTGCTGTTCCAGATTAAAAAACCCGGAACGTCAACCCAGGAATGTCCAATCCCGCACCAGACGCTCATCATACCAATGCCCAAGCGGCCCGTCTGGACCAGAACGAGAGCAATGGGTCGTTCTCGCCGTCACCCCAAGCTTTGAGGAAACCACCTGGGCATCTGAAGTTGGCATGCAGCCTTTCTAAATCAGACTCCGACCTGCTGGCTTCCCCTCATTGTGAGGACGACGGGCCTCTGGGTGGCCGGAGCGAATCCCTGTCCAACTGTGCTGATGAGAGGAAGGAAACGGAGCAGATGCCCTCGTTTGCCTCCGAATGGGACGAGGTAAGAGCTGATGAACCACAGGTTAAAGAGCATGAGACTTCCTCTCATGAGAGACAAACGAGAGCGACCGTAAGACGTGAGCCGGGTTGTGTGTGAAGCGTAACAAGTTATGCACAGTTAGGTTTCGAATTTACACTATAATACACCAGTTACTTTTGAATAAAATACACTACTGCTTAAAAGTTTGGGGTCAGTATGTTTTTTCTTTTCTTTTTGCAAGGACATGCAATAAATTGATCAAAGTGACAGTTAAGACATTTTTGATGTTATTTCAAATAAATGTTGTTCTTTTTAACTTTTATTCATTTAAAGAATCCTGAAAAAATGATGCATCACAGGTTTTCACAAAGATATGAAGCAACACAACTGTTTTCATCATTGATAATAATCAGAAATGTTTCTTGAGCAGCAAATCATCCTATTAGAAGGATTTCTGAAGGATCATGTGACACTGAAGACTGGAGTAATGATGCTGAAAATTCAGCTTTGATCACAGGAATAAATAACATTTTAAAATATATTCAAATAGAAACCGGTTATTTTAAATTGTGATCATATATCACAATATTTACTGTGTTTTGATCAGACTTCTTTCAAAAACACATTACCGGTATATTATTTTACCAACCCTAAACTTTTTAATGGTAGTGTATGTAATGTGTGTTAGTTTTCTATTTAGTCTTATTTACTGGTAAATGTAATATATAATATCTCTCTTCCCCATAGTGTAGTGCCTTATGCCTATAAGGTGTACAAGACACTGTGTCTATACAGAAGCAAGCAGTGTGGTGCAATACAACTCTATCACTGCTATTATAATTGAGACTGTATGGGGTGTAGGTGTTGCATGCAAACTATGTCAGCCTTGTCAAAAAAACAAAACAAAAAAACAACTAGCCAAGCATAGCGAAAGCATTCTGGAAAAGACACTACTTTTTATTTATTTACTGAAAATTACCATTTCAAACATCTCCCTTTACCATTGCGTATTCATAATAATTGAATGTAATTTGTTACTTTTTTTTAGGAATAATGCAATAATTTATCTTTTAAAAGTTACTTTTCTAAAATGTATACCAGTATATAGTACCCACATTACTTTTCTTTTTATGCAAGTTAAAAGCATTTTCCTCCTTCCTCATAACATTGGCACAAAGGCCTGCAGAACAAACGCCGCACTCCTATTATTAAAACAAAAAATAATATGTCTATTCTGCAAAGTATAGTCGTTACATGCTGTGCTGGTATTGTTAACTAAAACCAATTTAAATATAAATATTAGATGAAAAACTTAGAAATGAAACTTAGAAATCTTTCCTTGGTAACCAACTCAAATAAAAAAAAAGTACTAAAGTACTAAAATTACTCAAATTTAAACTGTATGAATAAAAATAAATGAAACTTAAACATTACTATTTAACAAAAACAAATAAAACTGACAAAACCATATAAGAAAACTACAAAAAATAAAAAAATATAAAAACTAGTTCAAAATATTATTAAAAGCTATACTAGTATTATCTCTGTAAAGCTGCTTTGAAACAATCTCCATTGTTAAAAGCGCTATATAAATGAAGATGACTTGACTTAACTATTAAAATAATAGTAAAATAGCACTGGTTTAGAACAAAATGTGAGTAAATGATTATAGTACTTTTTAAGAGAGAGAGACAAATAACAGGAACTGTTGTGTCACTTTGCATAAAAAGCAACAATGTAACATTTTTTAATTTTTAGAACTTTTATTACGAATAGTGCAACAATGTAACGTGTTACTTTTAAAAGTAACATCCTCCAACACTGGTTGTGGGTGGGAAAGGAGCTCTAGCAGTGCGTAAGTTTGAGGAGGAAGAAGGAGGCAGCGAGTCTTGACAGTATCAGCGCCAGTGGCTGAATGCTGAACGCTTGGCTGGGCCCATCAGTCCTTCTGCTGCTCTATCCTGGCCACAGCGCGCGGGGCTAATTGGGCCTTAACTGTCACTCCGCATCTTCTCAGGAAGCTTCCCAGGGGCTGGCCCACGCTGAACACACAACAGCACACACCCCTCCCCTCACGCCAGAGCTTTAGTCACAACCCGAATGAGTGCAGACCTCTGCATTCACACCTCGTGCTGCGGTACACATCAGTGACAATGACAAACAGGCAATGATTCAATGATTGATCGTGATTATTAACGCTGTCAGCTGATACTCTTGTAATGGTATCTGACTAGACAAATGCATTTTCAGTAAATAAAATAAAGCAGTAACCCACTAAAAGACTGGATTTTCCTATAGTTAAAATCGGCATAAAACGGATGTTGAGATAATCATTTCTTCCCTATTGTGGCGTATATCTGAGTAAAATGGCTTTGCGAACAAGAACAAATGTAGGGCGGGGCTTTATTTTGCTAATGAGGAATTGATTGGATGGTTGTGGTTTGCTATTGGTGGATCTCATGTGAGTGACAGGTTGCCCCGCCCTCGTCATCAGAGAAGAGATGAGCTGTTATGAGTAAAGATTATGAAGCACATTCATTTAAAAAAAATTATGTGCACAGGTAATTCATATATAATAAACTCCATAAAAACAAGAATTGTCCAGTTTGATTTCATGGTGACTGTTGTTAGTTGCTAAAATCCCCTTGGATGTGCTAAGGTTTTATAGGTTATTGCTAGTAGGACTGTGCAATTAATCGTAATTGATTATCACTTTTGATTTTTGGCTTCCAATGATTATGTAAACAAGATAAGTGAGGTAAACCGATTATGTTTAACCTTTCCTTCACAGCGGTGCGCTTTTGTTCTTCCCTAAAAGCCCCAAAACTTAACATTCAAATTGGCCAAATAAGCGAGTGTTGTAAAATGCAGTCTACTGTTGCTAAACTGTGGGACGTGCTTGATATTAAATAGTGTTATTAAAATCGCATTAAGGCGCAAAAGAGACACTGGCCAGGCGGAGCAAAGCGAAGTCTCGGATCAGCAAAGTATACTTTGAGCTTCAGGTGTGGGCCTAAAAGATCACATACACACAAAAATGCTGTTTTAGCGAGTAAACACATAAACACAGTCGTTCACGTCTTACGTGAATGTAATCAGTTGGGAGAAAATAGGATGAGTGTCAATATACTGGATCCGTGCAGCTCTTAAAGTGACAGCAGCCTAATAAACCTGCTGCCGTTCGTGTCTTTAATGATAATCAAACAACAAAAGACTTGACTGCTCTTGAATTAATCACTTAATAGCTTTATTAACGAATAATCTGTATTTAATGTGAAGACTATGCAGTGTTATTTTACATTTCAATTTACATTAGCTATTACTTATCTGAATACCACTGTTAGTACATCTTCCTGAAAAACGTAAAGCACTGTTTTTTGTTTTTTTGTATTTTTGTTCTGTTTATTATTTATTTGGTAGTTATGTTTATAATTATTATGTTTTGTTCTTATTGTATTGCTGACTGTTTACTTGACTTCTATAATTGTTTCCATTATTTAACCTAGTATAGTTTATGCTGAAGTATCTATAATTGTGGAATTTCACTAATATCTATATATCTGAAATAAGACTTGGATATCACCCACCAATAATTTTTTAGATTATGTTTTAGGTGTTGGCTAACTGAGTCATTGCTAGACTGTTCCTGTTCTCAGGTAGTGCTATTTTTAATATTGTTTTATGTTCTATTATAGTATTTAATTTTTAATGTTCATCATGTATTTTTATATTGCTTTGTTTTTCTGGGTGCTTGCTCAGGTTTCTAGGTCATTGCTAAACAGACACAGATAAGATGGTAAGCACATTAATATTAAATTCAGTTGTGCAGTCACGTGAATGCATATTTTGAGTATTTTACAAATGCTTGACTTGCGTTGCTCATCTGATCAGAATTGACACACAGAACTATACGTTTTGTAACAAAAATGCTTACTTTTTTTCAAAGAAGAATAATAGGGGCAATCACATTTATACTCAAAGTTTTATGGAAGATTAGACTAGGTGGTGCTGGGAGTGATTATATTATCAGATTTTGGAGCAATATTCAAACTGTAGATTAACCAGTTTAATGGATCATCTATTTGTCGCTCAGGGTGGAGTGTCCTGTTCTCAAGAACATCCTGTTTCACAGTCGTCCACTGATGCTGCTTCCCATTATATATAGATGACATCTATAAGCTTGAGTGAGGGAGGCTGCAAATGAAAGAGGGTGGGTTAGGAGAAATGACTGCCAATATGCTGGCACCTGCTCACACTGTATCCCGTGCAAAACGGCTGTCTCAGCATTTGTGCGTTAGTCACGGTAATGAACTTTCCCCGGACACAACTTCTGAAGTGTGTAATCTTTTTGATGTAAAAAATGTTCCCCTGTGCCAGTACCATGGCAGGATTCAGTATTAAAATGATATTCTTTGACATTGAATTGCAATGTAAATAGCATTGTATATGAATAAATTATTTTTTTAATAGCATACTTTATCAAAGCACCAAAGTATTACATCTCTGTATCATGGTACAGTACTATTTTTTTTTTGTCAGGGATGAAGAAGTGAAAATGTTGTACAAGTTTTGATGAATTAGGCTTCTATTCACAAATAAACATTGATCAGCGAACATAAACAGAAGATCAACCGAATTACGCGTGAGAATGAACCTCATTGGTTCTTGCAGAAGCTCAAACGACTGGCAATCTGTGGAACTGCCTTCCTACAAATATAAAGATTTTAACTAAACTATCCACCATTAGAAAACTAACAAAAGCCTGGTTCATACAGCAGCAGCAGTGTAATCATGCCATATGAAAGGAATATCCGTGTGTATGTGAGGTGTGCATCTGTGTAAGTTCGAGTGAATGTGTTTATTTACCAATTTTATTGGTGCTAACTGGTTTCTAGACATTTTATTGTATTCACTGTCATTTTTTTTTACTCCTTTATTATCCTAACTGTTAAAAGCCCTTCTAGGGACAGGTGTTGCGAATTAGCCTTGGCTATAAACACTGTGATACAGGCATCGGATTG